AAAAGTGGAATGTTTTTGAAGTTATTCACTATGTTTAATAATGTAACTTCTAGGTTTTCATGTATTGATCATTATGGTTAGTGACACTGACTGATATAATGTTGCTATAGTATAGGGCATCGTTTCCCTAACTTTTCCAACTAGGGACCGGTTTATTTTTTAATTTTACGTGAGGCCTGGCCTCCTCAAATACTTAATTAGATAACCCGTTAAGACATGGCTAAGTCTTAACATCAAGCTTGAAGCAATAGTTCTATCAATTATAAAATATACAGGTGTTTTATAGTAATAGTGTGTAAAAAAGAAATTGTACTTCGTTGTTATTTAATCTTTACATTAACTGTATATTTATTAATGCTCTTTTAAGAAATAAACTTACCTAATGAGAAGGATGATGCTGTTTTTTCATCATAAGCAATTTCAAATCAGGAGGAAAAGAAGTCAGTTTGATCCTCAAATCTGGCTAGACATCTAATATGTTTCTCTACTTGTTTTTTTAAGAAAACCAACATTGAGACCCCTGATTCACATTTATGTGTCATGACAAAGGGCATAAGAAATCTCACCGCTTTTTCTGATAAATTTGGATACTCAGCACGACAGCTCAGCCAAAAATTAATTAACGAGACTTGACTAAAATGGTCTTTCAGTGCAGTGTCACAGGACAGTTCGATAATAGAATCAATTTTGGATTCACTGTGTTGTAACCCTTCGTCATTTTCCGTGTCAACAGTAAAAGGGTTCCTGATCCACATTTTACTGCTGTCAATTGGAGGAAAATATTCCTTCAGGCATGATTTTAGCCCCAAAAGATGCTCTTTGATTAATGAGCAAATCTCATATAGAATATTACCGTCTTCATCTTGGTTTTGTAATTCTGTTAAAGTAGAGAAAAACTTATAATTTCTCTTCTCAACTTGATGTACCCACCAGGGGCGGATTGGCCTATCAGGATACCCATTGAGTTGGACTATCGGCCCACCGGGACAAGTCCCCAATACTTTTATGTAGATCGGCCCAAATATTTTTAGCATTGAGAACTGAACTATGTAGTTAACGAAATCACGTTTCCTTGACTTGTCAATTTTATAAAGGTTGAAATGTGTCATAACTTTCTAAAATCGCACATTCAAATATAAGAAAGCGAGAAAGTACATTCCTGTGTCTTTCTGTGGCCTATTTGAAAAATAAAAACATATAGCTTTTACCTCTCATGAGTTATATGATTTATTTTTCGTTTATTAAAATGACAATATCACATGAAAAGCATCCTTTCATGTAGTAGAAACATAACAATGCGGAACAGGGACGTCGCGTGAGTTTTGAGAGCGGTAAATCATCGGAATAAAAAGTTTAACAGAAAACCTGTCCAGGGCCACTCTGTGATCCCAGTCCCGGGCCGCTTAGCCATCCCAATCCGCCCCTGTTCGATACCCGTGGTGGGTACAATACAGATAATCCATTGTGTAGTTTTGTGCTTAACAACAAACAAACAAACACTTTCGCCCGTGGGTGCATTCTAAAAGTTGTTCAAAGATCAGTAAGAGTTGTAACGGTGGGTGCTGCCTGCAGCCTGGATGATTTCTTTATGGTCATTAGTTAAAAATTAAAAAGGGATATCCATACCTGAATTCTAAAGGTCTCTGACTTGGTCGTTTAGTACACGTGCACATAAAGTGTCGTCCAGGTTGAAAATTTCAGTATCTATAAGTAAAAAGTGAAAAACATTTAATCATCATTACTTTTTTAAATTATTTAATTATTATTTTAAAAAGTCTGAAAAATCATACTTTGCATTTTAAACAGCTTAACGCCTTAATCAATATAAAACTTAGATACTCACATCTACATATTATTTCATGCTATTTTGAATTTTACCCCACTCTGTAAAATAACAATTATACAAGTTTTGAATTATTTAATAACCAGTTGTATTTTATTGTCAAAGATACTTTAAAAATTTTTAAAGCTTCGATGTGATATTTACTCAGAAGATCTTTCTTGCCTCTCCAGTGTATAAAGTTGGACAACTGATACTGACAACAATCCTAAAAGTTTTTCTTCGGAGCTGATGACATAGATAACCTGTCCAGCGAGCTTGTTCTGAACACACGTTTCGATGCACTTACGAGTATATTCATCAGATCTAATAGGACGTTTTGCACTTTACTTATACTGTTTTCACGAAACTTTCTACACTTGTGGGTTCTCAGGTGCTATTTTCATCCTGAAAGAAGCAGCCAGTCCAGCCATATCCGCTATACGTGGCCTGGTGGTTAGGGCCCTGGCATGGCCTGGTTAGGGTGCTCGATTCGCGGGTTCGAATCCCCGTCGCCGAACATGCTCACCCTTTCAGCCGTGAGAGCGTTATAATGCGACAGTCAATCCCATTATTCGTTGGTAAAAGAGAAGTCCAAGAATTGGCGGTGGGTGGTGTTGGCTAGATACCTTCTCTATAGTTTATAACTGCTGAATTAGGGATGGCTATCGTAGATAGCCCTGGTGTTGCTTTACACGAAATTCAAACCAAACCAAACCCGTGTACGTTTGACGATAGAAAAGACAAAGCTATTAAATAATTAATTGTTCGTATATAAACGTGATGACTCCTCGTTCCTTTCGTATATGAATAATTACAAATACACATAATTAAAAAGCGCTGTTAATGAGTCGTATTAATTCAATATTAATATATATTCAAGGTTGAACTAAGCCTATAGGCGCCTATTTGAATACAAAATAAGTTACTGTGCCTTAAGGAATTTTTGTGATTCTATCGAGTACCCTGTTTACTACTACTCAGAGATCAATGGCTTGAATGTACATTATTGATTAAATCAATCACGAGAGAACGTTCCTACAATTTTCACAAAGTAGCACCATTAAATAGGTATAGAAAAAATACTATAGGAGAGTATTGATTAATTAAAGTTTCAAATAAAGATGACCTTTAACCTATTCAAGAGTTCTTAGACTGTTTATTAGAATAAGGTTGATGATGAAAAGATAGCAGCAAATAACGCTGATGACAAGTTGTTTGTTTTATTAAGCAGAAGTCATTTTTAGTTGTTTAAATGAAATTAAATGAAACTTGCATAAATTATATCATTTAAGTTATTTAATAATATCAGTAAATCATTGTTGATTAATTAGTTAATTAATATAAATGTATTTTTAATTAAATTCGTATTTACACTCGAGATTAGTCGGTGTTTGTTCGCATTCCTTCACGCGAATCAGACGCCCCCTGTGTAGGTGTCTTTACCTATTTTCCTTAAAGCAAAACCGTAAAAGTAGTTTGTGCAAGCAGTTGGTAACCGTGGTAACGTAAACAAACACAATCAAATACAGTATGTGTAAATATATAAAAAAATATTTGGTCCTATTACTTTGAAATGCGTATTCAAATACCTGGTATTTTAGAATAATTTATCCGTCTAATATCCATAGACAACAGAAAGCAAGTATCTATCTAATTATCTGCCCATTCGCTAAGTGTTGTACTATTATACACGTACTCTATAAATACGATTTTTACTCCATTGTTTGCTATGGTTACCATAGTTACTTAAGGGACTCGTGTGCGCTGACGAAAGTGGAAACATCCGTTATTAGAGTGTGCTTTATACTTTGAATAGCGTGACCTGTTTTGAAATTAGTAAACCAAACCCATTGTTAGAAACAATGTGTTTGATACCGTACGAATGCTACATGTTTGTGTATTTTAATGGTGAGATATTACATATATATATATATATATATATATGTGAATGAAAACGTTGAAAAATCAGTTAAAAGACAAAATAGTTATGTTCAGATTATCTTGTAATTTTGAAGAAAATATATCCAAATAGTTCACTTATATTGTTGTCACAAACTCCAACTATTTGGAATCAGATTAAGTTATACAAATAAGAAATTATATAATTATGTTCATAATACAGTTGTTGGGTGGTGTTTATTAAGTTGTAGATTGCTTTATTAATTTTCAGTTTGAAGAATGTTGAAGGAAAGAAAGAAAAATTAAATTTATTATTGGCAAAACCGACAAAACAAATAAATACTACAATATTATTTAACCATGTTTTATTATCGATCTGTTATTTCCTGCTGTTTTTGTTTTATGTGTGTGTTGTCTCACTATCGTTTCGAAACTTCCGAATACTTTAAAAGCAAAATAAATAAATAAATACAGTTTTCAGGTGGCCTCTGATATATTTTGTGTTATTAGCCGATTCCAACGCATGACAGCAGAAGTTCAATTCTTAAATTTTTAATGAATATAAATATTTTATCAAACTAGAGCACTTGGAAAGTTTACGGCGTTTCGTGGTGTCAAATTGATTTAGTAACGAAGGTATCTATTTGTCCTTGTATTAATTAACCAATCGTTTCTGTCGCCTTGGTCTTGAGCTGCATAATTTACAATATTAAGGGCTCATAGAGATCCCAGGGACGAAGAATCCGCAAGCAGCGAATTACAGTTATCATGAGCGTTTTCTCATTGTGAACACAGAACGGAACCTTTCCGAATTACATATGAATGGTTTACTCGGAAAAGGTCCTCTCATCTGCCTGCGTCGCGTTCGATCTTCGTGACGTCACGAGTTGATGAGACTATGTGTGCCAGGTTTGGTGGGAGCAGAAGAGAAGAGGGGGGGGGGGCTGGAGGGGTGATTCTGCGGCTGTTGGTTGTGCGCGCGCCGCGTTCCGTTAGTTGATGCTCAGCTCTACTTCTGCCGTGGAGGGGGAACATTGTCGTAGAGACAAGTGCAGCTCTTCTGCGTTTAATTGAACGAGATCATTACTATTGAAGGTTTTGACAAAACACCAACACGTAACACCCCTCTCTCTACGGTTGATGACAGACCGTCCGTGAAGGCTAGATTCTCCACTTCTTGTTTTTACCACCAGGGATGAAGTCTTGAATATCTGCTTTGACAGGGTGAATAGCTTTTGTATACCAGCTCACTTGTATAATAACATGGACGTTAGGCTTGACTCGGGTGAAACTTAGCGTGAAGGTAAGTTGAAATGCGTCTATGTAAACAATTTTCACATTCATTATTGTTACAAGCAATAGTATACACGGGACTGACAGTAAGGTGCGTGAACTGACACGCACTTCTTTATTAATATTAGCAGAGTCCCAAGGCTAGGGTTAAGAAAACGTTATAAGAATTATTAGTTAGGCTTATCCGATCTAGTAACATAGTCTTGTTTATGACTTGTTCTTTCTCTCTTTTTTTAACAAAGGTGACCCGGTTTATTATTTGACAATTCAAGATATTTCTGTAACTTAACGTGTGGATGTGTTTCTGAAAATAATGGCATTAGTAGTACGAGTACTAATACATTATGACTCTGGTTTTATAATTAATATTGATACTAAACGTTTAGAACTAGATAAGTTAACACTTGCTTTACAATACATGCTTTACAATATTAATAATTGTTTACTTAGCGTTAAGACATTTATAAATTATAGGGCACAGAAAGCGAGTGTTAACAAAGTGTTGATAACTTTGTAAATTTATGTGTTATGGCGATTAAATATACTCGTATAGATATTTTGATTACCAGGTTTATAAGGATTTTATTTTTATAATATCTGTTATATTAAAAAACAACATTTGCGAATTTTCTTGCACGATTTCTTGCTACAGGTCGTAACACAAACAATTAATATTTTTATTTTTATTACTTGAGTCCAGACTCGAAACATTAAGTTTCATTAGATTCCTCGGTGGGGAAGGAAGGGGCTTGATAATATTTTTTCTGGCTACTGTTTCACTGTTTAAAATTTTAAGAACGCTAGAATACCCATGTTTTGGTTATGCTTATACATAAAAACAAGATTAACGTAATACGTCAACATTTGACAGTAACATATCTTGAATGAAATTTAAAAAAATTTCACCAGATCTTGCTAAAATTATTGTTTCTGAATTATTATTTGATTTATCACCTCTCCCAAAATCTGGTTACGGTTATTGTGTATTGTTATATTTTGATTTGCTACCTTTTCCAAAAGCAGGCTAGAGCCATTGTTTCATGTTATATTTTGATTTGCTACCTTTTCCAAAAGCAGGCTAGAGCCATTGTTTCATGTTATATTTTGATTTGATACCTTTCCCAAGATCTGGCAAGAGCCATTGTTTATTGTTATATTTTGATTTGATACCTTTCCCAAGATCTGGCAAGAGCCATTGTTTATTGTTATATTTTGATTTGATACCTTTCCAAAGATCTGGCAAGAGCCATTGTTTATTGTTATATTTTGATTTGATACCTTTCCTAACATCTGGTTAGAGCCATTGTTTATTGTTATATTTTGATTTGATACCTTTCCTAACATCTGGTTAGAGCCATTGTTTATTGTTATATTTTGATTTGATACCTTTCCAAAGATCTGGCAAGAGCCATTGTT